AGTGAATTAAATTAAGAAAACGATATATCAAGATGTGGCAAAAGAAAACAAAAATTGCCACTACATCCCAAATATGGTGCGTTTCATTTGTCTTTCTCAATTTCTCCATTCTTCCTGCCATGGACTCTGCCTATTCACACTCTCTTCCTTCTCTCCCAATCAAAGCACAGGCATGCCAAAATCTTTCTACTCCTCTCTCAATAATGAATGAGCAAGGGCTCTTTCTAATTCTTCTTCTATGGCAATTCCATCATGTTTGGGACGAACATAACAAATGCAAGGAAACAAAATTCCACTAACGTAAAAAGACACAAAATTAGTTATGAACTAGAACCATCATTAATCCATCTTTGAGAAAGAAAAGAAAAGAAAAGAAAAGAAAAGAAAAGAAAAGAAAAATTGGAATCATACCTAGACAAACACAGAGAGGATTAGGGATGTTTGCAGTGTGATTTGATTCGAATTTTAATATTGTTTAAACCAATCCAATTTAATCAGTTAGTAAAGTTTTCAAATCAATCCAATCTACTATTATATGATAATCAAACCAATCCAATTTAAATCGGATCGGTGTGATTCAGTCAGATTGATCGGTTTTTAACAACATTAAATATATGAGATAAAATAAAAAAAAATTAATATTAAGTAGAAAACATAACTATAAAATAAATTAATATCCAAATTACTAGAAACATAATAAAATGCACAAATTATAAATAAGTTCCTATACTCATTTACTATTGTAAAGATTGAAAAGATTGAAAAATTCTTTTTGGCTAAATCACTAGAGGCACTAAGGGTAATAAAAGATTATTCTAAATTTTAAATATAGTACAAGTAATTTTTAAAAGTTAAAACTAGTTTTTTTTTTCTTAATGCACCAAATGATTCAATTCCATCTTCCAAACTCTGTTAAAAGCAAATAAAAATTTAACATGAATGTCTGTCATTAGAAATTATTAGAAGCATTCATAATTAAAATTTAAAACTCCTCAACTAAACATTCAAGAATAGTAAAATATCAAAATTAGCTCTATTATATAATTTTAAGATTTCTAGAATGATATTTCTTAAAATTTAGTCAGGAAAATCAAAAATATTATTTTAAGTACAAATTAAAAAATTAGAGTTCCAAAAGTAGAGTCGTAGAGTAGTTTTAAAAAATAAAGTTACAGGTTAATTGAAAATTTAAAATTAAGGTTAGAGTGCACGATTTAAAAAGAAAAATAAATTAAAGAATATGGGAATATATTATTTTTTTTAATTGAGTTAATAGAGTTATCATCTTATAAAATAAGAATAAATTAAAATATTATAAAAACATATTATATTATTTAATTAAGTTATCTTATAATCGGATTTTATTTTGTAATCATGTGGTTCAAGCAGTGTAAAGGTAAAACAACAAATTAAATCAATTATATTGACTTTAAAATTTTATAATTCAAACCAATCTAATTTTATATTGATTTAGTTTGATTTTTTATCAGATTGAATCAATTTAGATACTAGGAAGTCAACAATTGGAGGACAAATACTCTTCCTTTGTGGTCAGGTTGTTGACCGTACAATCCAAAATGAGAAAGAAGCAAAAGACAAAAGTAGAGAAAGCTGGTGATACTTTACATTCATTCTTTATTCTTTACATGGAAAATAGATGGTATTCCTACGTTACTTATAAACTATTTGCCTAAGAGAATGATAATGCAACACAAATCAATTTGAAAATGGTTTCTTGTCCTATTTTACTTTACATTCTCATTCTTTATATACCATGTAACCATTCAAGGCAACATATTGTTTTTATTCTGTTTCTCGCTATTAAAAGGTTGTTTGTTTTGATATGCTTGTTTTGCATGCCAAGAGAATCATCCAATGAGAAACTTGATTTTAGAAGTTAGGCTAGGATTAAGCTGGTTTATTCTGGTATTGCTAATATATGTTTTGGTATGTGAACTTAAAAGTATAAATTTGATCCCTGATGCTATCTACATTGAAAATAATTGCTAGCATAGAACAATTTTGGGTGAAATCTTTTGTAAAGAATAATTTAGGGTGATATTGAATCAGCCATGACTACTAGACCCAAACCATTGATCAAATCTTAAGACATTTTTGATATGGTAAGGATCAGATTGTTGACTGTTGTTAAGAGTTAAGAAGCCATAAAAATGGTTCTATTTCCAGCCTTAAACTGTAGCATTTCTTTTACAAGTTGTTGAGGAGAGTGGAGGGTTTTTTCTTTCCTTTAAAAATTTTTAATTGCATTTTGCTTTGGATGGTTAGACAGAGGTTGTGGATGGGATTAAAAGTATGTTTTAAGTTTCATTGGTTGAAAACTTGAAATTGGGGGATCCTCTTGATTCAAATTCTTCAATTTGTGGATTTTCAGATTAGAACTGCTGTTTGAAAGGATTGCTTTCTAGTTTTAAAGTCATTTTTGAATTTGTCACAAGTTTTGAATGACTAATGGATTTCAAAGTGCCGAAAAAATTCTGAATATATTCTCTTTATCCTATCAAATGCCAATATAAGTTGCTCTCAAAATTTTTGGTTCTGTTTCCTGTTAAAGTTTGTTTGATTTAGCATCACGTCAAGCATTCTTGAGATTGTTAAATGTTGTCTCAGCTCTTGCGTTGTTTGACCATAATTATCTTCTGTGTTAGGTATATGGCATATATTATGGACACTAATGAAGAGGAGAGAATTAAGGTACTCTAAGATGTGGTAACCATGTTTACATTTTTGGATTCCATATGGTTGCTATTTTTTTTTTTAAATGGTTGCAAATTTTTTCTTTTTTTCTGATACATGCCATTGCTCTTTGTTATTTGCACAATCTCACACAATTGATTGTAGGGTATTACTGTGGAAGTTGGAGGAGGAAGATACTTTGAGACTGAAAATACTAGGTTTACCATTTTGGATGCACCGGTAAGCAATTATTTTGAAGCTAAAACACCATGATTTTGTGTTTTCTATATGATTTCCCGTCTTCATTATTTAGTTTTTGTTGGATAAGGTTATAAGTTTTAGCTAGTTTATTGCTTTTCTACATCTGTATTTTGTGAATTATGATATGATTCTATGACGTTGAAAAAAATGAGGGATAGTTGGAAGGTATAGTTTCTAATTAATGCTTTAATACGATGTATAATCTCAGGTTAACGTAAAAACGAATTATGTGATGGTTTCTAATTTTGTTAAATGAAACTCTCCTTTTTCATGCAAGCAGTGTGGACCACCCAGGTGCAACTAGATGTGTCTGGATGTTTCGCCTTTTAATTATTATTTTTTTAAAAAAAAAAGGTAAAAAAAAAGTCATTAAAAAATGGAAGAAAAACAGAAATTGAAAAAAGTTGAAAATTCAAGGGCTAAACAGCATGTTTACGAAACTTTAAGGGCTAAACTGCCAAAAATAACATCAAAACACAGCTAGTCATTTAACTCAGCACAACCTTTTTCAACCTTTAGGAACTGGGTCGGGTCTGCTTTGCAGGTCAGATTCGGGCCACTGGCGCGTGAGGGTGCGTTCTACCATCTTTCTGACTAAAACTCCATCAGAGTAGCTCACTGGGGTCCTCTGAGAAAGTTTCCAATGTTGTGTCTTGGATTATGGCACAATTTTGTTGCTGACCACTGTTCATCTGGGCAGTCCAAGGGGTAAGGTGGTGCAGTGACCAGTGCCTCCTGGTCAACTAATCCCTTCTTTTGCAACACTGCCTGCAAGCCATCCTCAGAACATTTGATTAGAATTTTTGAGAATGTGACAGCTTAGCTACTTATGATTCTAAATACTTATCAAGTTTGTATGTGCAAACAAGTTTGTAATTTAAATGGAGTTACGTACGGTATTGATGTAAGGAAGTTGTGAATTTGTTTACAGAATAAAATTCTCAGCTCTTGTATTCTTTGGCCATAATTTGTTGTGTCTTGAATGTATATTTCCCATCAATTTTGCTTCAGTGTGTGATTTAACTTTGAGTTTTGGGTTGTTTGTTCAGGGTCACAAGAGTTATGTGCCCAATATGATCAGTGGAGCAGCTCAAGCAGATATTGGTGTTCTGGTGAGCTAGGCGCCACTTCACTGCATTTGTTTTGCACAAGTCGCATTTTTTGAATTTTTAAGTCTTTCTCTTTCTCTGTCTTGTTCTCTATCCGACTGTCATAATTAGGTATTTCTACCCGTAAAGGGGAATTTGAAACTGGATATGAGAGGAGTGGGCAAACCCGTGAACATGTTCAGCTTGCAAAAACTTTGGGTGTATCTAAGCTGTTTGTGGTTGTGAACAAAATGGACGATCCTACTGTTAACTGGTCAAAAGAAAGGTGCTGTTCCTGAATTTAGTTAAGTTTATGATTATATATGCTTTTTTATTTCTGTGTTCTATTTCTGATGGTTCATTCTTCATGGCATTCTCCCTCAGATATGATGAAATTGAATCTAAGATGATACCATTTCTGAGGTCTTCAGGCTACAACTTGAAAAAGGTAATTGATATATTGCTTCTCAAATATTTTTTTCTCTTTTTTTTTTTTTTTTATGAAAATGGTGATTGATTGAATTAAAATTGTGAGTTATTTGTATTTTTTTCAATAAAAGCAAAGCAAATTAATTCTGTATATTGATTGTGTTTTTCATCTTATTCTGAACCTGTAGATGTCCAGTTCCTACCAATATCTGGTCTTCTTGGTTCCAACGTGAAAACGAGACTGGACAAGAGCATATGCCCCTGGTGGAATGGCCCCTGCCTCTTTGAAGTTCTTGATACAGTTGAAATTCCTCCTAGAGATCCAAAAGGTCCTTTTAGGTATGATTTATTACTGTAGGAATACATAAAACTCTAGGAAGAAAGTATAATTGTATAACCCTTTGTTATGGAAAGGCCTAGATGGTTACTCATAAGGACACTGACTATTTTGAGTCCCTTTGACTTTGATTCCAAACAAAAGATAAGTAAATAACTGGCTAGGATTCTCAGAAAATAGGACCTAAAAAATCTAACTCCTAAAGATCCTAGAATGACCAAAATGTACCCAAATTATATTTTAAAAGAAAAATCTAAATCATGGAACTGAAATTATATTAAGTCTGCCTCTGAACATATAAAAACTTAAGTATAATACAATAGAACCCTAAATTGCTAAAATTAAAGTTACCCAATATAGATTCTGAATTATCAAGGCTGTATCAATCTTTAATTCCACATCTATTAACTATAGGTTTTCTAAATATGGAGGACGCCTATAATCGACAAATTTAAAGGCATGGGAACTGTCATAATAGGAAAGGTTGAATCTGGTACCGTGCGTGAGGGTGATTCTTTATTCGTCGTGCCAAACAAGGTGCTTAATCTTTCACCTAATTTCTTTATTTGTTTATTTATTGTTAAACTTCGATTTTGAAGTCCAAGATGCACGGATGGCAGGCTCAAGTGAAAGTTCTTGCCATTTACTGTGATGAAGATAAGGCTGCACATGCTGGACCTGGTGAAAATCTGCGGGTTAAGTTATCTGGAATTGAAGAAGAGGACATATTATCTGGTTTTGTCTTGTGTTGTGTTGGCAAGTGCTTTAAAGATTGTGAAAACTGAAGCCTCTCATGTTTGATCCCCAAAAGAGGAAATTAGATTATAGAAAGCAGAGTTAAAAAAGTAAATGGTAGGATAATTTACAAATTTGTTTGCAGAAATATTTCCGTTCTTTTGTAGTTTTTGATAGCAACGCTGGGACATCTTGGCCTCACCATCCCTTTCTATACTTATTTTCTAATTTTGATTTCTGAAGTGTTATTTGTGATTTTGTTTAAGTTTTGCTGAATTATATCCCTATTTTTTTTTTACCCAGCAAAACCAATACCTACAGACACTGAATTTACAGCCCAGCTGCTGATCCTTGAGTTGCTTGACAATGTATGAACGAATCCACTTTGTAAAGTCCTCTTTTCTCTTATTTTTAATCTTTTAGTTCATTTGATTAACTTTGCATCTAATGGTATTGAACTGTCTCTGCTATTTTACGCAATATTTACAGCTGGGTATAAAGCTTTCTTGCACATTCATTCTGTTGTTGAGGAATGTGAGATTGTTGAGCTGCTACAACAAGTTGATCCCAAGACAAAGAAACCCATGAAAAAGAAAGTTCTATTTGTTAAGAATGGTGCTGTCGTTGTTTGCCGCATTCAGGTTTACTTCTTGCCTTTTCACTCTTTTGGAAATTCCTAAGTGTCTATTCTCCAACACTTGGAATTATCTAGAATTATGAATGTTTTCCATTCAACACAGTATCATCCTCCTGCTTGATAATTGTGGGACTGCTAGAATTTCTATGTATATGTGTTGGAATTTTTGGTGAAAACAGAAGGAACTTGGAGGAGGAAGAGAGCCAACCGTGAGTTCCTCTTTGTTGAGGTGAGAACTCCACTTTTCTTCATTCATATTCTGCTATTATATAGCAGAAAACTCAGTACATCTACAGTAATTTTCATACTTATCTAATACATTTAATGCAAGATTACATTAAAAGACTTGCTGCCACTTGTGCAGCTTCATTTCCTTTCATTTGCTACCACTTGTGCAGCTTCATGTGGCTGTACTTGCTGCTATTTTGCAACCTCATTTGCATTTCATTTGCATTTCATTACAGCCTCATTTCATCAACATTTGCAGCATGGTTTGCTGCACTTTGCTGCATGGTTTGCTGCACTTTGCTGCTACCGTGCTTTGGTGCAGCCTTCCTTGTTCATTTGCTGCCTCCTGTGCAGCTTTCCTTCCATTGCTGCCTCTTGTGCAGCTTTGACACCACAGCTCCAACAATATGAAAGCTGTATCATTGTTCTGTTATTTATGCACCTTCTAAGCTTTCAAAGTTCTGAAGTGGTTGGAATCTCCAACCAATATTACATTTTGTCAAATAGTTTTCACTGGCAGTCTTTTTTTAACAAGGAATTAAGTTTTTCTTTGAAGTACAGACT